GCGTTGATTTCGGGTACGGACACCCTCCGTTTCCTCCTTAGGTAAAATCGTCATGATTTTATCCCACTTCTGACACCAATTTTTACGAGTTTGAGGTTCGTGACAATAAAAATTGCCGATAGAATTACCTAAATTAACACTTTAATTTCTTTACACAAATTAAAACTTAAAACACCAATAATTAATTACAAAAATTCACTTTATTCCGCTCCGAAGCTTCGTTTGTCTCGCCAACTTCAATACCTCCCCGATCGCGTATTGCAGCGCCTTTATATAGGGCTCTTCCACGAATACATCCAGAATATTCCAGAATATTCGAGTAAATACGCGCGCCAACCGACCAAGCGCAGAAAGTTCGAGTTTGGGGCTTCCAGAAAGCTTAGTTCTTCAATTCGATACTAGATGGCACTGTCGGTTGAAAGATTAGTGATGTCATTTTCTGGAAAGCTCTCTCTTCGCTCTGCTACCCGACACTAGATGGCGCTAGTGCCAGATGTCAACTTAGCCGCGCAACAATATTATTTCATTTACCAGGAAAAGAATCCAATCGTCTTTAACTATAAGCTCGATGATAATTTACTAAAGAGAGTAAATGAATTGCGTGATCTTGGTGTTCAGTTGGATAGTAAGTTGTTACTGAGATCACATATTAATATCATAACTCAAAGAGCTTATAAAATGCTAGGTTTTGTTATGCGTATCTTAAAAGATTTTAAAAACCCTACATTAATTATACTATTTAATTCACTGGTGCGATCATATTGTTCTTCATGTTGGAATTCTCAATACAAATTTTGTGTTAAAATGATCGAAACAATCAATAATAAGTTTCTGCGTCACTTAAAGCGATATAATTCTTCTGTAGACTCCATTATTGATAGCTTACACAGTAATACACTCGAAAAACGCCGTGATATAAGAGATCAAATGTTGTACAAATTGCTACATAATATCATCGCTCTCTATCTCTATCTCTAACTCTATCTCGCTCTCCCCTACTTTTAAGCAAAGTAAATCTTGCGTGTCACCGGTTAAGTACACGAAATAAACCTCTTTTTGCATTACGTAAATTAAAAACGAAGTATGCTTCAAATAATTTTGTACATGTAAAAATTTTAACTTAAAATATTGTGAACTAGATATTTTTCACCTTAAATATAATAGTTATAAAAAAATTGTAAAACTTAATTTATAATTGGTAGCTTTACTATAGGCTGTATGTATTGTATTACTTTTAACTGCTTAGTACTTAATGTTTAATTATAAATACCATATTTAGTTATTTTTTTAAAATCTTTAAACATATTGTGGTTGCAAGCTTTTAATATGTCATTGGTTTTAGGATTACTTTTATATGTTTTTTATGTATTTTTATTGTACTGTATGTTTCGCTTAAAAAGCCAATAAATAAAAATAAAAAATTAAAAAAAAAGCAATCCTAAGTCAATGTAATGATTAAACTATGTACGGTTACTGCATTCTTTCAGCATTAAATTTATTTATATTCCAATGCGTTATGTAAGTTTTAAGTAAGAATAAGTAAATAAATAAATATTTTGATATTGTACTAGCACTTTTTAGTTAATTGGTTATTTAAAATTTATCATTCGAAAGACTGTAATATCTTATCATAAATTGGAAGCAAACATAATATTTAATACTTAGAATTATAAATAGAGTATGTAGGTTTTAAATAGAGTTGCAAAGATATTTTTATTTCAAAGAGTATTTATAATATAATCACATTCAATTTGAAACGGTTATTTCATTTAATATATTATAGTATAAATTCCCCTGATAAGATTAATTTATTTTTATATGAATGTTGAAAGCTTTTTTTAATATGCATTTGCTAAAGATTTAGTGTTTTTAACTTTTTTGACTTTATTGTTGGTCTAGTGGTTGTAGTAGTGCGACTGCTGACCATGAAGTTCTGGGTTGAGTCCCGGGTCGGGCCAAAAAATAAACTATTGAGTATTTCCGTCAAGAAATTCTCAGTAGCTGCCCGGAGTCAGGAAGTTGGCGGTGTCTCACCTCCTTGCCTCGGAAAGCAAGTAAAACCGTTGGTTCTGCGCCTGATCTCTCTCCGATCGTGTCGGCTTACCTTTCCATCGGATTATGAAAGTGACGAAATAGAGAGTGCATCTGTGCTTGCGCATACACTTGGGCACTGTAATTTTGTCCTGCGTCGATGGCTAGTCAGGCCGAGGCAGGCCGCTGTGACCGAAATCCGGTCGGGAGGACATTATTATTAATATTATAATTTTAGTTTTTCAAAATAAAATCGAGTACCGGCCTATATACAGTGAGATTATTAGCTGGGCATAAGCCTTATTCCATTTCTGAGAGGGTTTTGTTAAGATTCTCCCGCTTTGCTATCATGCGTGTTGGTGGACTTCATACTTATTATCGAAATATATTCTATTTAATGTTTCAGACACAGTCACAAAGGTTGGAAATTGTAATACCTGGTGTCTAATACATGAGGCACAGTTTTCCGTCACTAGTCTAGTTAATTTACATTGGGTGCGTTTGGCAGAAAAAAGCGCTAGCAAGCGCTTACTAGCGCTAAAATAGTTTTCGGCCAGGACACGATTGCTACTTCAGTAGCGCTGACACAATCCGCCATTTTGCTTATTTAATTTTTTTTGTTTTGAAGTAGAGTTTATAAGTTGTTATTTGCAATATTAGTTTTAAGTAATATAATGACATGAATAGACATATACATGTTATTAAAAATTCATGATTGGTAAGTTTTTAATATGAATTACTTCACAAAAATATATTTAAATTAGGTTAGCTTCCCCGGTTAAAACTAACATCGTGTCCTAGAGGAAAATGGCTACTTACGATTTGACAGCGCTTACCGCTTACGATCGCCATTTTGCTTACAAGCGCTTACTAGCGCTTTTTTCTGCCAAACGCACCCATTATAACATATTATATGATATGGTTTAATAATGTATTTCAGACCGTTCACGGCGGCCACAAGCCATCTGTACAGTTCAGGAGTACAGTGCACGAGCGTGCGCACAAGCAGTCTCTATTCTCTCACTCTCATAAACTGATAAAACGGCAACCCGACACGACACGAGAGTAGAGACGGGCAAGGAGAGGGCGCAAGAGAAACAGCTTTACGTATTGCATGAGTGTGAATCGCTGCAAGCTTGTTGCTGAGTCTTTCTTAATGGAAAAAGCCAATAACTGATTTGAACTCAACCTGGGATGCAAACCCGGGACCACATTATCAGCAGTTGCGCTTAGTACTACTAGAATAACGAGGCTGTAATAGATGGTATAGATATACTATATAATAGATGGTATAGGTATACTATATAATCTGTCAGAAGCCAAGAAGTATTTTTAACTTTACCTTTATACGTTAAAAATCTGAGCTTTAGTAGTAAGAGGATATTCTAATACAAATATCACTAAGCTCCTATTTCTTTAGATTTCAACACTGGTATGCAGCACAAGTAAATTGAAGTTTGTGTCAGTCGTTGGAAATTTAATCCGAGTTTTTCCGTTCTTGAAGAGAATTTTAAATTCTTTGCGCTTGTTCATCTCCTTCGGCGAAACAAATGTTTACTCTAACATTTAAAATGTTAAATTCAAGTTCCTTTGTTGGTAATTTGCCTGAGATAAAACATAATTGAAATGAAATTTCAGGGAAACAAAACATAGAGACGTTTAGTATAAACGCAGTAATAAAAGCACAAGTCTTTTTATGAAAAAAATTATTTTAGGCAAAAAATATATTCTTTTTTTTCTCTTTTCTATAGTTTTAAATAATGTTATCCGTACACAAAGACTTTGTCCTATATCGTGGAGAGGATTTAAATACACTATTTGCGGAAAGGCAAACTACAAAGTGAACCACAACATGTAAGTAACGTACAAATGTTTTAACTTCTCACTAAGAAAAAGAAAATTTTCAAAAATCGGGAAGTTATTGTTTTTACTCCGTTTTTAAAAAATTGAGTTTTCGTCAAATCTTAACGTTTTGAGGTCACAGGAAGACACCCTGAAAATGTTTTACTTTATTTTACTTTCAATTACTTTTATTTTTAATTCCCGACGCGTTTCGACGACCCGCGTAAATATAAGAAATCATTATGTAAACTGTTTTTTTTTTAATTACATTTAAGCGACTTTACTGATCGATTCAAAAAACAAATCAGCTTTTAACCTTAAAAACTACGTCGATCGTTTCCGGTCTGGTCAAAATCAAAATTTTTAACAAATTCCCGAACTCGATAAAAAAAAATAGAAAAACACACTAATTTTATAAATAAACTAAAAGAATTTTTAATTTGTAACACCACTACACACTAAAAGAAATGACAAATTTTAAATGCCTACCTAGAATACCTACGGTTGCTATATTATAATATAGTGTATTCATCATTAATGTTTCATTAAAATGGCCCTCCTCTCTCTTAATTGCCGTGCCCTGTAGGACCCATAATGATCTCATAGTTTTAAGTTAAAACTTAAAATGTTCTCAACACCTTAACTGTAACATTATGGACCCAATAAATAATATGAATATGAATATGAAATCGGTTGATCCGTTCATGAGATATCGCTAACGAAAAATTTTGAAAAAATTGATTTTTTTTAATTACCCGATATTTCATATTCAACGTCATAATTTGGTGAAATTAGGAGCGCTTTGCATTAGAAATTAGTAGGAAGTTCCAGGGATAGAAAAAATTGGTTGACCCTACAGGTGTAATTTTTTTTATTGAAGTGTCAAACGAACACAACGTGAACATGAACGCCAGCACTGCATACAAAAAGGATACAAATGCATAGTCACGTCTTATGACAAAAATGGAATGCACACCTCTAATTGTACTAGCTCTGATGTAGCTTAGAGAAAAACAGCGATGGACGCACCCCTATATTACCTAGACTGATGAGATAGAATAGGAGATGTATCAACTAGTAAATATACTAGTTTACTTAAAAGTAAAAGTTAAAACTACGATACTCACTTCCAGCATATTAAGACGATTGTTGTCGCAAAAGTTGCGACATCCTATTTCAGTGCTCATGTACCAGCCGTTGAAAGCGTTCGCAGTGAACTCGATACCCCCGCAATCGAATCGCATATTGGAGACCGCGGGTAAGGCGTACCAACGTAGTTCTAGTTCTTCGAACCATTCGTATCTGCAAAAAGGTTCTAAATTAGGACATCATATCTTGTTCATCGTCAGCACGTTACAGTCCACGGATGGGTATGAACATCGCCCCTTGTAGAGAGAAGTTGCGGTTAATATCACACTAACTTGTTAGACTAACGGCGATCGTAGTACCAGATATCTCGCTACTTAGTAACGTAGTTACATTTAATCTCTCTCCCTCTCTTTCTCCTTTCTCTCTCTCTCTTTATATATATATATATATATATATATATATATATATATATATATATGGAAAATACCACTGACTGACTGACTCATCGCGATATCTCTAAAACTATACACCCGATTGACTTAAAATTGAGTATAGTTAAGTTGCTCATTTCGCAATGTAGACGATCACTGAATATGGATTTTACATTATTATCGTTTATTATCAGCTAGTAACTTACATAAAATAATTATAGCGAAAAGTTATATTATATTATAGTGGAAGGTTTTTATATTTACATGAATACTATACATTAAAAAAACTTATTTTATGGAATTTATCGAGTTTAATATATTATTCAATTAGCACTTCGTTGTAAAGAACAGCTCTTTGCGCAGAAAGGTAGAAGTATACAATATATATATATATTTTATATTTTATATAATAAATCATTTTACTATAATTATTCCTACATGTCAAAATATCAACAAATAAGACCTTAAATCAATGCAAGTAAATATTTGGTTACGTAGGTACGGTGATTTTTTTGGAATTATAATATATTGATAGCTTACAACACTGTCTAATTCTCACAGATGGACAATCAAGTAATATGTCCAAATCTAAATAATTTTTGCAAGGTATACCTTGTATACCTTACTTGAAGAAAAATTTCGCAAGCATTCCTTCCTTCCTTCACTTGTTTCTCCACAGGTTTCAGGCTGAGTTATTCATACGAAATTGGAAATTATAGTGGTTTCGCGTAGATGATGTTACGCTAAGTAGGTAATTTATTGCATTGCAGTATATTTTGCAATTTACATTATGCTTGGGCGTGAAAATATCTTAAGGAAGCATGCACGTCCTGATATTATAAGAACAAATGAGGATGTCGTTTGCGTGGTTTTATTTGCCTGTTTGAGCAAAGGAGACTGTCTAACTTCTCTCATTGCTAATATTACCAACGTGCATGCGGTACAGTGACCAGGAAATTCACCGGAGATGGAGGAAGCAACATATAAACATTTAGTTCTTATTTTAAAAACAGAAGTTTCGTTTCATTTAATTTCATTACTGATGCAAGGATATTGGCCTATCATTTACTAAGTTGCTTGGCAGTATGAAAAATGTCGATAAAGAATTTAGTTAGCATTTTAATCTTGAAAAAGCATCCAGAAGTGTCTTTCGTGGGGAGGATGTGTTCGGAGTAAAACTGTGCGGTTACAGCGTAAGAGGCGACTACGAAAAAAGTCAGAAAGATTCTTTGACTCCCTCCAAACCACCATTTCGCTTACGTTGAGACGACACATCGAAAAAGTTGATCCGGGCTATCGCCGTACTGATCCGAGTGAATACATAGTTTTTATAAAAATTAAAAAAACGCCGTCTTAAGGTCTCAATATGCGTAGCGCCCGCGACGATTAAGACCGCTTAGAAATTATTGTCAGAAACTTAAAATATTTTTTTAAATTATTGATTTAAGTAATCAAAATTATGAGCAAGTAAGTTATGAATATTGATATTATGAATATACTCGTATATGAGTAATTCCCAAGAATATAGATTAAGTAATTTCGTTGTAATATCTACCATAGCGATTTTTAGAGGTGTTTTCTCAAGTAATTATGATTGAGTCATAAGTATACAATTCTGTTTTTGAACAAGCAAATTCAAGATCAAAACATGAATTTACCTTTATCAAAATTCCACTTTCGGTAGTGGTATCATAGTCCTATACTATTCGATGAAAGGAGATGCATTTTTTCGCGGTGTCGCCTTAAAAAGACTGGCGGTAAGGATTAGAGTTCATATTGCGACAGGATCAGTACTGGTATCAGTTAATCCTCCTGCCAACTATGATAATTGGTAGGGAACCACGGGAGAGGTTAGAGTCTAGCAGTGATTTTATCTTCTGATTGAGAAAGAAGAAAAGTAAATCGAAATAAAATAATCTTTGTTTATTATCGTATAAAGCTATAAATAAATGCAATTTTGGTGTCTTAATGAACTGTACAGTATCTTTATGTAGAGTCCTAATTCTATATATATTCCGAATCTTAGAGACACTTTTTATGGATATCTGATCTTAGTCGAAAGAAGTAGAATTCACAAGCTAAGACGTTATTTGCTTGGAATGATGCATTTTCTTTCTTCTTTCAGTAGAATTATTACTGCAATTAATAAAACGATGTAGATACTCGTATATATTTGTTTCTTATTGCTATTGAAACTCTTCCCACTTTGATCTTAATGACTCAAATTAAAATCTCATAAGACACTACTATGTAAAAATTCTGGTCAAAGTTAATTTAAATTATTTTTCCGGTCTGCATTACACAATAACAAGACTCAACACAGCGAACCGAACAAAGACTAGTTGTTTACATATTAAGTGAGATTTCACAGAATCGTCATCCAAATATAACGCAAATCTAGTCCGCTCATTTACGTTCAAAAACGTGAGTAATTACCACTTAGGAAAAATTAACAGAAGTATCACTTATATGTGAAATGTGAAACTAATAAGTTTGAGCTTAAGTAGGAGGGCCTACATCATATTTGTTATCTTTAAAGCAGCAACGTCATCCTAATAACATCTAGAAAATATAAAAAGTATGGTTGCCAACTCTCCTACCAGTAGGTAGGTAGTTGCTATGGCTGGTACGTTGGTTGGTACGTAGCCACTACCTATGTTCAGCAGTAAAGTTTAATATAGATATAAAACTTCCTCGTTGGTCTAGTGGTTGTAGCAGTACTGCGACTGCTAATCATGAGATCCCGGGTTCAAATTCCGGGTCGGGCCAAATATATCAGTTATTGAGTTTTTCCATTAGGAAATTCTCAGTAGCAGCCCGGAGCCAGGATTTGAAAACAGGTGCACTCTATTCCCTTACACTTGGGCACTATAATCCTGTCCTGCGCCGATTGCTAGTCTCCGTTGAGGCTGGCCGTCGTGAACAAAATTCAGTCTGGAGGATATTAATAATAAATAATAATAGTAATATAATAATCTTTAAAATAAAACATGTAACGATTCAATTTTCTTAAAAGTTCATGGCTATTATAATTGAATTTTTATGCCCGTATTATCGATATATTTTCTGGCCTGAAAGATGTCTCAACTCGTGCCTCTCAATCGAATTTATCACGCCTTTTTATAACACATTAACGCCTGTTAACATTATCAATGGCGATACATTATTGAATGGGCTTGGATTTATAGGCCATAAACGTAGATTGGAGATCACTGGACCACAGTTTTACGATAAGCAATCTACTTCGTATGGGCGGACTGTAGTTGTCTTTTTGCGACGTTTACCTCTACACGGCACAACATGCATTCTCCGCCTTTTTATGTGGGCATAAATTCTTGATGGAAAGCGGTTGACGTTGACGTGTTGTTCATAAGTAGCCATGTAATACTTTGTTGACGTCTTATATTGATAATGTTGATTGCAATATATAATCGTTACACTTTATCGTATTACATTTTTCATAGTGTAATTGTAATAGAAAGATTTATAATATATTTAGTTACTAGCTCATCACAAATTTATTTTATAATACGACAAAATAAGGTGATTGGATATATATAAATGTTAATTTGCCTTAAGTTGGCGGCGTAGGACAATCTATCACAATATCGGTCTTCCGAAAGATTTCGGTATCATCATCATCTCGATTTTACTAGGCATACACTACCACGACCAGTGTTCGTGAGTAGTGTCAAAGGTGCAGGACACCTAGTATAACTGCGATGGCCAATTAATATTTGCCATAGTTGCCACGGTTGGCAATCGGGTTGGCAACCGCTGCTTTTTACTTTTATTCGTTATTAGGAAGATTGCTGCTCATCTTCTGATTTGTTTCCCTTTGTCGCATTTATCGCCACCTACGGGATGATATGGGTGGTGAATATTCTTACACCGCTACTACTATGTAATATGAACTCGTAAAATGATCATGTAAAATTCTTCCAACAAGCGGTGGACTTTTTTGATCTGATGATAAGAAGAAAATGACGATACCTAATTTAGTATTCTCAAATAAGCCTTTAATAAAAGATGTATGCTAAATAAGCATGTCCACTCAATGGTGAGTGGATGCCGCGACCCATAGACATCTATACAAATCATCGGTTTAGTATCAGATAAGCTTAAAATAGTTATTTTATTACGAGTACCACCTATATGATGAAAATAAGTACGTTAAAATTAATATTTTTCACATGCAAGCAAGAAATGAACATGTAAAGTAAAATATTGCGAATGTATCCACTTTTTTTTGTAGGAACACAATTTTAAAGAATCCTCTGTCACTGAAACGTAATAAAGTTCGATAAAAGATACGACTCCTCGAGAGACTTACGTCGGATGGGTCATCTGTATTTCCATGACAAGGTCCCGAGGGATCTCAAAGTAGTCCGGATCCTTTCCATTAGCAGACAACACCAGCGGCAATATGTCCCAGGCGGTTCGGGGCGGTTTCCATCCCAGCTTGAGACACAACTGCAATATTATTGAGCATTCAGATTATTGTAATATCACCTATGAGCTTACCAATATTATACTGAATAAGTTACAAGTGGTAAAATTAATAATTTGTAGAATCAACTTCAATATAAACAAAATGAGAACATCGTCAATGTAGTCGAAGTCAATTAAATACGCAATACTAAGGATATCTCAAAAACTACTATTCATATCTTGGTAAAACGAAGCACCAGCATTTAAATAAAAAAAATCATCAAAATTGGTTCACCCAGAAAAAAGTTCTGAGGTAACACATAAAAATACAATCGAATTGAGAATATTCTCTTTTTTTTTGAATTTGGGTTATAAATGCACCTGGTCTTAGTAAATAGGTTAAATATATTTGCGGTAATAAATTTAATTTATTGCTAATATCAGTAATAAAATTTACAGCTTTCTTAATTTCACTTGCATCGGGGAATATCAATAAACATACTATGAGAGAGATCTATATCTAGTAGCGTAATGCTTCAAAGACACGGCTTCTTACGCAGCCCACTGTGCAAGACGAAAAAGTTAAAATGTATGCCATAGACTACCAAAGCAAGACGTTACCATCAAGTAATATTTATCATACTTATTCGAATTATTTTTATATTAATTGTACAACGTCATATATTGTGAAATAATATTTAAAAAAATGGCTTTCTTGCAAGTTCTTCACCGCACAGACATATTTTTTCTAAACCAGTGATAAACGCATTTCTTACTGATGACTTAACGTTTCATAAGTAGGTATTATTGGGGCCTATACTGAACAATATAATTATTTTACTTTTTTTCTAATGCTTGAGCCACCTACATCAATCAACTTCTTGCATCCTTACCAGGTCTCCACTCAATCTAGTGGGGGTCACATATTTAGCTTACCGGTACGAGGTTATTACACGAGACCCTTTCTTTTCCATCGGATGTTGGTTCTTCGAGCTATATGGCCAGCCCATAGCCACTTCAGCTTACTAATCGGAAGGGATCTGTCAGTTACTTTGGTTCTAATGCGGATATCCTGATTACGAAAGCTATCAAGCGGATAAATTTTGAGCAGACCCTCTCTATAGTTTATTGAGCGAGCTAGTGATTTTTATACGGCTACCAGTGAAAGAACATATCTCAGATCCATATATCATCAGTCATCACTGACAACACTCACTGGTTGTATTCAAATTAAATTAATTAAGTTATTACACATGTACAAGCAACAATTATTTCTTTCCCAAAAGCAAAACATCTTTTAGTTGCAGTATAAATTGCTACATACATATTGCAACACTAGAGTATGGAATTTTTCCCTTTAATCAAATTTAAATATTTTATGATATTTTTCTATTAATGATTACTATATTGTCAGTTGCACAGAAAATTTCTAGATCTAAACATTGAAACAAAATATGCAATTATTTAAGTAACTTTTAAAGTAGCTTCGGTGTATTTAAACTGATACACCATAACTCCAAAAATTGTAAGATTATTTGTTTTTATAAAAAATGCTTTTAACGTTAAACGTAATGTGGTATAAGATTCATAGACTAATAAATATTCATAAAATCAAAATGGCAGATTGAAGTTGTTGTAAATATAACGAGCCAGGTGCAGCCGATTTCGAATAGTCAAGTTTGAGTGATTAATGGCTTACAGTAAGTAAATTGAAATTTTTCATTTTTCAGCGCAACAGCTTTTTTGCCAACAGTTCTAAAATATGTAAGATTTAACAATATACATTTATTCATATAAGGGTTAATTTGGTCAGATAACAGTTATCCATTAAATAAATAGCCTGATCAAATATAAAAGGGAAGTAAACAATTTTATTTATACAACGTTAATGTTTTATTTGTTTATGTTGTATTTTATCATATGAATAACTTTTGATGTTAATTTACCTAATTTAACAATCGAAAAATTGGCACTACATGCCACAGTATGTATTTGACGATTACCACGAACATGATTGTTTTTCCATATAAACTAATTTTTTAAATTAATTTAGCTTTTTGTTAATATTCTTATTAATTTTTATCTCTTAGTTGCACTTTGATGCAGCAACTAAATATCAGGTGTTTACTTGTTAGTGACTAACCAATATTAAACTTATATTTATATTCTGTACATATAATAAAGTAGAAAGGAGTTAAGAGAGTTAATTGAAAAGTTTTTCATCAGATCATCGTATTTCTTTTGTTAAATTTTCTCATTTGTTAAAGTAATGTTTGAATTTTTTATCTCTCAATTGTACTTTGATGTAGCAACTAAATATCAGGTGTTTACTCGTTTGTGACTAACTACTACTACTTTGATACTAATGTTATATTCTATACATATAATAAAGAAGAAATGAGAAAAGTTTTTCATCAAATATATTGTAGTGATGTTTGAGATCGAGTAGAAATCAAATAATAATTTAAAGTAAGATTTCATGTATGGAATAAATATGAAAAAGAATCGGGAAATTGGGAAGGCAGGTTCGCGATTGACAGCTTTCTACCGGCAAGCGCAATGAAGGTCTTAAAATGGGAAAGTCCAATATACAGCAGTCAGCGGTGGATTTTTGGTCGATGTTTGCTGCAATGGTGTTAGTCATACTAGTACCGCAAGTCTGACAAAGGACATAAATCCTTGTATCTTGACCTCTAACCTTAAATCGAAAATATTTATATTACAATTTAGTGCTTCGTTACGTGCTCCTTGCTGTTGGCGATAGCGTAACTTACAAGTCAGAATATATGGGACTTACCGTATTGTAGTATTTCTATATATATCCTATAACCTAATGTAACTTTGATTTTTACTTACTTTTAGACTTTTACTTAATATTTGTCATCGTTGTTAAATATTTTTTTATAGAATAAGGGTGACAAACAAGTACACGGCCCACCTGACGGTACGTGAATGCTGTGGCCCACAGACATCTACATTTATCCTCAATTAAGAAGTAAAATACAGATGCGTTGTCGCCCCTGAGGAGTGAGATGAAATGCGTCGTTTCAAGTAAAAAGGGTCTCCAGTCTACACTGACCATACGAAACACAGCAGCATCTACGCTGGTATTCTATGAGAGCGTCGTCCCACCCCAGTCGAGCTGACCCATTCTTGTTACAACCATTAAATAGCTTTTAGGCCTTGCCATCTTATCTTATTTGTCATCTGTGTTAAAACATTTATTGCTTCTTCATTTTTTCTCTTAAGCCAACTAACCTCTGTGAATTCGCAATGCATCGGATCTCCCAGTACTGTGCCATCCGGTTGCTTGTAGCCGGCGTAGCTTATTAACTGGCTATTCCATATCCTGTAATCGTGCTTACCGTCCGTACGTTGTGGGAATACAGTAATAGCTGACCTAAAATAAAATTTCGTAGTTTAAATAAAATGCTGATGACATCGAACTGAACTGTTTACTTTACATTAGAAAATTTGAAGTTTTCTAAAAAAAAAACTATTTCCGAAAATCATTGCTTAAAACTGTAATCTTAATTATTGCAATCATCAAATACAATATAATCATTACATTTTTGTAATCATTAGGAAAACGCAGGCTTTTATTGTTATCTTTCACTAAACACACCCGAACAGTAAGTTGTTTAAAAATAGATCTAGTAATATTTGCGATTCATTAGTATTTTTATTAAATGTAGATTAAAAAGGTTTCTGTTAGATTATTTTGTAGTTGATATAATTATTTAATTTTATGAATTTTAAAACTGCCAATTTTACTGTTTTTGAAAAATTTACTAACCTTATGTTTCCTTTGTTTGTGCTATATTTAATATGATTGCAGAGAGCTTCAAACATCCCGCTGGTTGTAGTCACCTGTCTGCAATCGAATACCTTAAACAAAATTCACAAATTAAAATGATGACAACTTTTGTGACCGCCTTAAATCATCAAAAATATTTCTCGTATATTGGTTTAATCGCTACCGTGAAGTGGCGGTGTCATAATATTTACTAACCCACATCGTCCCGTAGGGTTCGTAAAAGGTGACAGAGGGAAACTGGAACACAAGATGACAGCAGCGTCCGCCTGCTAGTGTGACTGCTATGGCCAATACAGGGGATATGAGGCCCCTATGAGGCAATCTATGGGGAAGACCTAAGTTTTTAATTAGGCATCGTGCTACATACCATCCATACCAGCTGGATGACTGGCGGTCCACCACTGTGCGATTTAAAAGAAGTTTTCTTCCTCCAACAACTTCCTTGTGAAATCGACTCCCACCAGAGATTTTTCCAGACCAATACGACTTAGGGAACTTCAAGAAAAGAGCCTACTCATTTTAAAAGGCCAGAAATGCTCCTGCAATTCCCTTGGTGTTGCTGTTGTTCATAAGCGGCGGTAATTACTTATCATCAGATGAGCTGTATGTTGGTTTGCCACCTCTCCTATAAAAAAAGTTCAGAAGTTGATAAGGATGCTGTTACGGTAACGGTAACGGTATATTGGTTTATGATATATTATTTAGTAGTGTAACATAATTATGAGTCAAAACAATCTACTTTTGTCTTTTAAATCAATTTATTTAATGACATGCGTTTGCTGTAGATGAGCAGATTTTAAATTTAATCGCTTTAGGAATTTCACCAAACACGATAAACCAGTCTAAATCTCTCTCTCATTCTGATTAACCTCAATCCATTTAAGGAACACGATAATGAAAATACTCGTGAACATCAGAAGGACTTAAAAGTGGTCTGATAAAACCGATTTAAATCGATCCCTGTCAACCGCTGAGAAAACTGAATGAAAGCGAACGAATAAATTACTCGTAATATCGTTATGTTGCCCGCAACTCAATCACGACGCCTAATTAGAAACAGCATTTAGCTCCTTTTTTGTATTCTCCATCGGATACAAAGTTAATGAAATGCAAAAACCACTTTGCGCAAAGATGCGCTTCATTTTTAATCATAAACGACGCTTTTTTCATCGTACAAGATAACATTTATCCGATTACTACAAAATAATAAAAATCAATTTTGTGACATAGAGTCAAGGATACATTTTATTTTGAAACCGGACTAATATTCCTCCAATTACGTAACGTCACACCAGAAATTCCAAAGCGTTGGTAGAATCTAAATAGCAGGGAGCTATTATGGCCACGTTGAATCACAAAATAATTATGGGTTTAGTTAGAAAATTGTCAAAAACCTGATAGGTGACTAGCCCACACAATTACAAAAAAATAACCCATTTTGAAACAGAAACAGAAACTTTTTTATTCAATATAGATTATAACAATACTTATTGAAAGTCACTTTTTTCATTTACCACTGGTTCGCAAAAAAAAAACCTCTGTCCTGGGAAGAACCAGCAAGAAACACAACGGGACTATTTTTTTTTTCCAATAATAGCTTACAATAATGTTTACAATAAACAACACGAGACAAATTAGAAATAGCTTGGTAGCGATCACCCTTCCCAGGGGTTATTATCATACATAAATTCCTTAATATTATAATAACCCTTTTTATACAAACTTAGTTTAATAACATTTTTGAACTTCGTGTATGACAAATTTTGTATATTTTCTGGGATTTTGTTGTAAAAGCGTATACATTGCCCCAAAAATGAATTACTGACTCGGTGGAGTCGAGTAACTGGTACTACTAGCTTGTGTCTGTTCCTAGTATTTACAGAATGAATATCACTTATTTTCGCAAAACTACTTTTATTTTTGTGTACGTACATTACATTTTCATAAATGTATTGAGAGCCCAGAGTTAATATATTAATTTCCTTAAATTTTTGTCTCAGTGACTCTTTTGGTTTTAAATTATATATTGCTCTAATGACCCTCATTAATCACCTTTGTCACCATGCAATGCAAGTAAAACAGATGGCATATTTTTTTTTTGTTATAATTCACATATTTTGGACTAGTAAATCCTAGAGTCCTAGTTCATCACGTTACTTCCAGACCGACATGGGACCAATTGATACAGGTAATGCCTATAAAGGACAACATTGCTTTACAAAAGCGTCGACTTATACAAAAAAAGGAAAATTTTTATTTAATTAATTCCTAGTTTTATTAAGAATAAGGATGATAAACGAGCACATAATAGATTCGATGGTAAGTAGAGGCTGTGGTCCATAGACATCTACATACATCTTTGATTAAGAATCAAAATGCAGTTACGTTGCTACCCCTGATGACTAAGGTGGAAGGCCTCGTTTCCAGTAAAAAGGGTCTCCGGTTTGGTCACTCGCCATACGAAACACGGCAGCTTTTACGCTGATATTCTGATAGAGCGTGGTCCAACTCATTCATGCTACAACCATAATATAGCTGCAGCATGGCTCAACCAAGTACTTAGTGAAATATAATATAAAACCGATAAAGATAACATATAAGATTGACAGCTTTGTTTTACGTTTGGTGATGCAGTTTTTGTAACACGATTAAGGGGTTCCCGAAAAGGAAAAGGAAGGGAGTAGAAGTACTGTCTACCGGTAAAACATAACGCAACACCAAAAACAGTGACGTTGTCTAGTATAATCTAGTCTAAACAATCAACTTCAGGTCACTGCCTCAGTAGAATAAGTAAGTAATCCGGGGCTTTGAAAAAACAAATAAAACCAAAGTTCTTGTTTGGGCAGACTTCCTCATGATTTAAATTGCTCAACATTAAAATTCATAGCGACGCTTTAGATGGGCAGTATCCCACCAAGATTAGAGTTGTAACTTGGGGTTCAGGGCTAAAGGGATGCAAAATATCAATTCAAAATGTTCACTTAACATCAAGCTTCTTAATGTGTGATAAAAGATATAATAAAAGAAAACACATAATAAAGTTAAGTAAAGGCGTAATACGACGACGTAATTAGTAAACATACTTTATTAGTATTTAACCTTTATTAGTATTACCTTTATTAGTATTTAAAACAGATTTTTTTTATGTACACCTAATATATTTTAATAATTTTTAAACAGTTTCTCCAAACTGAACAAGTCTATTTTAAAGTACTTTTATTTACAAGTAGTAGTAATCTTTATTAAGAGATTAATATCACTTCTGTTGACGGAGGGGCCTGGTGATACCATAGCACAGGGCAACCTAGTTTGGGCATCAGTCTCCCACCTAGATCCTATTTAGTTAGTATTTATAGCTGTTATTTAGCCGTATAAGTTTACTATTACTTAGCTTATTGTAATGTTCTGATAATATGTGGGAGAAAATAAATACTACTTTATTATATATTATTATATTACATTATTTTAACACCTTGATTTAATATTGACACATTGTATTTAAACAAATAGGTGACATCGGTGAAGATAATCATTTATGTTTCAACGTTTGAGACGGTAACATAATGACTGAATATAGATAAAACGTTACGTTTTCTTCGACAGGTAATATCATACAAGCTAATTGTACAATATTATAAAATAACTACCCCGAACGTAGGTAGGGCACCCTACACGAAGGTCTACCTAATAATTTTATGTAGTCTCAACGTTGTCTACACGGCTTGGGGTATCTCGGATTATGAGATGTAGTTAAAATTTTTATCTTTAGTGTGTCAAAGGCTGAATTTAATTCATTTATTACATATTATTTATTTTGTATTTTATTTATTTACATATTTATTTACATATTTTTATGTAGGTTCCTCGATGGTTTAAAAACTCAATTGGACTCGGTAGGAGGAAGTTTTAACGAGATTCAGTCAATCACACGTGAAAAGGCGGTTCGGATCGCTAGTAAGAAATAAAAATGAACTAATAATGAGATAACCGAAAAATATATCTTAAGATTTACGAGTAACATATTTTTAAAAACACATTCAAATTATTTTTAACATGATTAGATGTACGCTAGCTTACATAGCCATTTGGTATTATTTTTGCTTTTGTCGTTACTTTAATGTGTTGTTATGTATATTTATTATTTTGATCATAACAATTGTTTTAGCTCACAGGAAGGTGTGTTATTGCAAATCCGGGCAAACCAGTCAACACAACTAGCAACTTCTCTTAAGTATGAAGCATATCGACTGTGAACTGGCAACCGGTCCTATCTCAATTTTTTGAAGATTTCACTTTTTGATGCAATTTTATACTATTTCATACTCCGCAACGCTGCAATAAATCCCATCTCAGATACGTTTAAATTTGGCGCCTGAATCGACTGAGCGAGCATTTAATACTATCTCGCCAAACGTGTACGTACATGAACGCGATTTCGCACGCTCTTGAAACAAATAACTTTTTTATGTGAATTTATTAGGTTTCTGTGCCATAATTTATTAGTTATCATTATTGGAGACTTCTAGTAGCTGTAATGGTATGTTTTCATTATTAACTAATCATTAATATTTAATATTTCTACCTTTATAATCTATAAATCGAGGTAGTACATTATGCATCGACGTTAAAAGTTTTAGCAGATTGGAATGACTGAGAGATAGTACCTTTTGGTTCTATTCGACTAGGGATAACATCAACCAAAAATACCTTTCGCTAGATTTACCTTTATATAGGTATACAATGAATTACATGCTTTTAAGATGTACGATTCCGCTGTAAGTAGGCATCTAACAAAATTTTATGATATAACTGTATTATTCAAGTGCCATTAGCATGGACTGCTTGCCCTTTAACCGCCGCGTCGTACAGGCTTGCGGGATAAGTATTGCAGAATGTGGTTATTACTACCTACCCGCCTCTTAACTAACTAACCACTTGCTTGGTTGGGTTTATTATAACGTAAATAATTGTGGAAAGCATTTGTAATTTCAAACGATTTATCCGTCTTGATATACGCTTCTATATACCTACTCTTTTCAGGAGTATAAAAAGTTGAGACGTGGTAAGCGCT